CCCCCCCCCCCGTGCTCGCCCCTCCGGCGTGGGCCGGTCCAGGTTTCACTCTGCAGGAGGTCTGGGCCTGCCTGACGTGCCTGGCCGAGGCGGCCGGCCACGGGGCCGATACCCCAACCGCCATCGAGCGCCGGGGGAACTACCTTTGCGACGCGTGCACCGTCGAATGCCACCCCGGGCATGATGTCCGCTCGCTTGGGTATCGCCGTGGCGTTCGCTGCGACTGCGACGACCCGGACCGGTGTCCTGGTGCGCAAGGGGCGCGCCTGCGACCTGCCTCTCGGATGCCTCGCTTTTGGGCCCTCGGCTCGCGACTGACCCCCATCCCGCTGCCACCTGTGTCGTGCTCCTCCCTCCCCATCCATCTGGCCATGTATTGCTCGGCCCCTGGTGCGCTACCCTCCGCCTTTGCCCCCCCCCCTCCCTCTCGCGCTGCGGTGCTGGCCAGGCCAAAAATGCAGCCTGCTGGCAGACCTCAGCGCCAAGCCGGCCGCACGCCGGCCGGTGGCCAGCCCCCTGGGGGATTTGATCCTCCGAGACCCGGTGGCCAATCGGTACACACTGGGCAATGCCAATCGCTTTTGCATCTGCCGGCGCTTCTACTCGGAGGACGATGGCCCGGCGGCGCCGGGAGAGGCCGACGGAGCCCCAGACGCTGCCCCGGCCGATGAGGACGACATCATGGTCCAGTGCGTCGGGTGTGAAGACTGGCTACATGGGCGATGCGTGGCCCGGGCACGTGGAACGGATGCCGACAGCTGCCCGGCCGGGCCCTGGGAGCTGCTTGCCTCGACGCCCGCCGCGGCACTGCCCGCGGCCGGACCCCGGAGCCACTGCTGGGCATACTTCCTGTGCGGGCGGTGTGTCGCAGGCGACGCACTTCCGCTTGCCTGGGCGCTGCGTGCGGCGCCCGACGTCGAGCGTGTTCCACTTGGTGCGTGCGGGGCCGGCCCGCCCGTTCGCCCGCGAGACCTTGCGCCTGTCTCGGGCGCGGGAGAGGGGGAATCCTGCTAACATGCCCCTCGCTGCTGCCCCCCCCCCCCCCCCCCTGCAGACCCGTCCTACTTGGTGGGAGACAACTCGCCCAGCCGGACTCCGAGCCCGGACTTGCCGCTGGGCTGCCGCACGGCGCCGGCCGATCTGGACGACTTCCGGGCCGGCGTGCATGGTACGTTGCCCCTCGCCGAGCCTACTGGCTGCTGTGGTTCCTTTGCCCCCCCCCCCCCCTCACCCACCTGCGCGCGCGACCACGCCTCCTCTGACCCACCCGGCACGCGCGCCGATCCACACAACCACTCAGGACAGCCATTCCACATGCTGCTGCCGCGCACCTTCCGGAAGATGGTGTGCGGGTGCGGCCTGTGTCGGGCGCTCCTTCGCCAGGGGATGGACCTGCCGGGCCACTGGGAGGGCCCTGGCCCGGAGTCGGTCGACTGGTCCCCTCTGGCGGCCCTGCTGCTGGGGCCGGTGGCCGGGCTCCATACCGCTGGGCCGGGTGCGGGCGACGAACGCGAGGAGGCACAGAGTGCGGGAGCCGGTGCCGCGGCCCGGCCGGCCCGCGCGGCGGTCGCTGCGGCCGTGGCCCCGGCGCACCTCCGCTCGGGCGGTGCTGGTACCCCGGCACACGCGCCGGAACAGGCCCACGCCATCGCCCAGGGGATTGCCTCGCTCCATTCGCATCTGCGTGCGGAGTTGGCCCAGCTGCCGGCAGACTCGGTCGTCACGCCGGAGGTACGCGCGAGTTTTGGCAAGCGGGGGAGCGGGGGGGGGGGGGGGGGGGACATCGGGTCAGGCCCCTATGCCGCATGCTGACATCATCCGCGCGGGGCAGATCATCCGCGGAATTTTCAGCCGGCTGCGTCGCGAGGGGGCCGAGGAGGGGGCCCCGGCGGCCAAGCGCCAACGCGGCGCCTGACTACACACTCCGCCTGGCCATGGGCCGCGCTTGGTTGGGCGGCTTTCCTCCGTGTCCATTGTGTGTCCAGGCGCTGGGGTGTCGCGAGATGTTTTGTGTCTATTGTCGCCAAGTGGCTCTTTCGGTTGAGCCCTCCCCGCGCACACATCCAGGTGGGAGGAAGGGACGCCCATGCGCGTGCGATGGGTTGTGTGAAAAAGGAGCCCCCGGTCTCGGGCACTGGGCAGGGGGGGAAGGGAAGGCCTGCTCGGGCGCCGGTGCGACAGGGGAGGAGGAGGAGGGG